TTCCCCTGATACTAAACCAAAGCTTCGCAAACATGTCTAAGTTCAGTCACGGGATATTCAACTTTAATTTAATTAAACTTAATTAAAACGCAATTCTACGTTGTATTGCATTGTAATTGAGTTTAATTAAACTCCAATTAAAACGCAACCCTATATAGGAACGCGTTTCGCAACTATATTAAAAGTTAATTCAACTATTTTAAAGTTAATCCAATGTGTGGCGTCACAACTAAGATTACACCAGTATAGGTGCGTGTGTGTGTGTGTGTGGGTATGTGTGTGCGTGTGCGTGTGCGGGGGATAGGGGTGGGGTCATACAATCATAACGTCTCGGGGGAAATTGTTCCAACCCGCATTTTTGTCAACAGATTGCTGTTAAAATTAACTGATTTATATCATGGAAATAACGATAAATCTGACTGATTTTTAGACTTAGACGTGCTTAGAATTGTGAAACATAGGAGTGTTCACTATGAGAGTGGTCCCTTTGATATGGTCTTGGTACTGGAGGCTTAAAGCCTCATGTTATGCGACGCGTGGTTTTGACTGCAGTTTGCGCATTTTTTACTGTTTCTGCACGAAATCTCTATACAAGGACAGTTTAGGTGATGTAGGTGTACGAGCAGAACACACATTTCACTGGATATTCATGCACTTTCTACACAGTACCACATCAATGTCTGTAAGTATTTCTGCTTTGGATGGCAAGCGTCTATAATACAAGCATAATCAAGGGATGTACCACATCGGCGAAAAACTGTGCGTTCGGCATACACGTGCGTGGACCTGCAGCTTCCTGGGTTTAACATCATGCCAATCAGAGCTTCTAAAAATATTATCGTAATTGTAGCCTAAAACAATATACTGTAATATTCATACATATCCAACTTGGAGCTATAAACCTAGCTGACTTGTGAAGCGACGAGATAAATTTTAAACGAAACTTGATGCAAGCAACAGCAGGATGACCTAGGCTTGAACAAACTGGGTTGCCTGGTTACCTATCTCTTTTCTTTCGTGGTTCTCCCCCCCCCATAATATACTAGACATATTTTCGTTCGTATGGTCAGTGGGTGAGCGTGGCAATGATTTCGTGATATTAAAATTTGATAAATGTAGCACCATGCTATTCTGACTATGCTAATTTCCCTAACAATGTATGTTCTCTTCACGTGACATATCAGCTGACAGTTGCTACTGAGACGCCACCGTGCGACCGCTTCATTCTTGGTGCAGTTGAAATAAATTTACATGATTAATGAACGAAATCCTGGCAATATACCCAGAGTATTGTTGGGAGAGACGAAGGAACTACGAAATAAGAGGAAGGCGACCAGGCGAGATGCTGCGATGCAATGTAAGGGTTCATTGTAAGCCCTACAAATACAAGGAAATACACACAAACGAACTAACAAAATAGACAACGTTTATTTCCGATTTAAAATAAATCACGAGATTGAAGTATAAAACATAAACGTACAAAACTATTTAAAAATTACCTATGTATAGGATTACATGTTGGTATTATTTATTATACTTTAACTTATTTAAAAAATCATTCAAATATTTAAAAACCATTGACAAAATCGTCGAGATCTCGTTGGGAGCGAGTCACGTGTTGTATTTTTCTCGTCATCGCGCCTACTGTTCCAAATACCATCGCTGTATAGGTAATGAGAACGTGGACCAATGACGGAAGTTAGCGGGGGAATAAGTCTCGTGGCTCTCTCGCTGTAAACGAGATCACAGCCGCCGTTTGAGTTTAAGACCAATTGTTTCTTGTACATTTAATGTTCTTGAAAAATCTCACGTTGCCTTAAGAGAAGAATGACTGGAGATTAGTTTTTGCCTTATTGGTTCCAATAATGCATATCGTTTAATTTGTATTTTGACGTCGTGAATTATGGGAAAATACGCATTAGTATAAAAATTATTGTATTCGTTAAAAATATATTGCGATATCATCATTTCGTTAAAAACAACTTAAAAAGCATCTTGAAAACGCTGGAAATTTAAAAAAACGAGTCACTGTTGACAGTCGCATAAAAAGAGAAAAGATTTATTTTTTTAAAGTGACGCAACCTCAAGCTGTAGGTAAAGCATTGACAGTCACGTGATGGCACATATTAATCTGGTGATTTGGAAGGTACACGATGTGTGGTTGTAGCTTGATACCACGTGTTGAAATGCAACTGTGTGACGTCACGGCTGATTACCTGTAATGACAAAGGAAAAATGAACAATAAATACATCGCGCCACAGATAAATTTAGCCCGTAAAAAGAATTATTAGTTTTCGAGAAGACAATCGTGAAAAAACACTAAAATCGTCATGGTTGTTTTCATATTTTTCCATGTATTTTTCCCCCAACGCTTCCATCGCCAGATATTGGCCCAACCCTTAAAACACAGCAAATTTCTGTATAAAATGCATCCATTCAGTCATTATTTTTTTTCGCGTTGCATTATCTATGAAATAACCATTAAAATGGCGGTCACGGTGACCGGATCACTCGTGTTATATATTAATAATTCTTACACATTCTCCCCTTCCTTCAATAGAATAACATAATATTGTTGTTTCTCTGTACATTGATAACAGCGCCACCGACGCCAGCTTTTTTTATGCATCTCCTGGTTTGGTCATATAGTACATCAAAACATTCCGCTTCGACGACCTAACATCAATACGCACATGCGCACTAGCCATGACAACGTATTGTTACATATACAACCAGCTGCCTTACAAACACAACAAAAATAGCTAATTCTCATTAAATGCTGCTTGCTTTTGTTCTATTCTGATTTTTTAATAATTTCTTTACTGTCATATAATCGCATTTCAACGGGGATACGAGTATAATAAAGAGTATTATACCGTAACGCCATAAGTTACAGCGTGCCGTAATTTTGCGGTATTTTACGGGGTATTATCATCCTACCATATAAGGAAATGCGAATTCCGAATATGGAATCATTACGCGCGTAAGCGTCCTCTAATTATAAAAACAAACTTGGCTGCCACGAGAGTTTAACCGGACTCCACACAAAGAAGTCCGCTGATTCTGTTCTGAACATTTTGGATTTCGGCATTCCCATGGTGTATCCTTGGAAGGAAAAGATATATAATAATAATAAGGTTATTACGAAGATAGTTCAAAGTATGCACTCCGATGCTGCGCGCCGCTCGATAATCCAGCTGTACTGTCTTCGTGCATACTTTGAGGTATTCTCGTAATAACGTCATATTATTACATTACAAACCCATTTATTGCACACTTGTTACAATTAGCTGGTGATATTGAACTCAACCCCGGTCCCCGTGATAATGATGTCATTGAAGCCGTGTCGTCCATGAAGTCAGAACTACTAAACGAAATGAAAAAAGATGAGGGAAGACATACATCATGAGTTACAAGACCTGAAATCTGAACAAATAAATTTACGTGAAACGTGTTCAGTGATAAGCCACGAGTTTGACAAAGTTGAAGTGGACGTTCGTGAACTGAAGGAAAGTAAGCATGCAGTAAATTTAAACTTGGCCACTATATCCATGAAGCTGGATGAATTATTTGATCGCATAGAAACCGTAGAAAATGATGCAGATAAATCGGAATCGATCTTGCGGAGGGAAAATGTTCGGCTGTACGGAATTGAGGAGATACCGGATGAATCGTTTGACCAATGCAAGGAGAAAGTATTGCGTATTTTGAATATGCATGTGAACAAAAAGCAGTGGGTACCTCGTGGTATAGTCAGAGCACATCGAGCACCAGGTAGTAGAACAAATAGTGCGCGTCCTGTTATCGTAAAGTTTCACCACTGGGACGATAAAATGATTGCGTTGGCGGCCAGATCGGAACTTAAGAAGGTTGGTATCGGCATTGGCAACGACCTTACAAAGCGACAACGTAAAACCGTTACGGATTATAAGAAGCAAGGTAAAATTGCTTATTACAAGAGTGGAAAATTGGTTGTAATAGATAAGAAGATAGAAATGAATAGTACAAAGAAAACAACCAGGACCAGAAACACGGCTACAGAAACGCACAAAAGAAAACGCCAGGACAAACATAACAAACTAGGGGTGTGGCCTTGGCCCAAACATAGTAAGTTTTCAAACTTGGTATGTTCAAGGTTTGAATAACAAAATTAGTTCTTTAAATTTT